GGCGCTGTCCATTCGCCATGTCAGTTTATAACGCAGTGGCCCCGGCATCGCCTGCCTCACCCGGCCGTCAGCCAGGCCCAGACCAGCCAGGCGCCGAGGCCCGGGGGCCGGAGCTCTCGGCACAAACGTCACCGCCACCGGGAATGATCTTTATGACGCGACAGCATTTCACATTTCCCACATGAACCTTCTTTTTGCTTCTTGAGATACCAGGCCGGCAGCTTTGCGCAGACCCCGCGGACGGGGACTCTGCCCGCACCGCCTCTCCGACAGCTGCTCAGAGGAAACCAGCCACTGTCGCTCTGAATCAGCGGACAAGTTTATGACTCGGCTAGTGGTTCCCACGGCTTAGACAGCGGTTCTCAACCTGTGGGTCGCGACCCCTTTGGCGAACGACCCTTTCACAGGAGTCGCCTAAGACCAACCTGCATATCAGATATTTACATTACGATTCATAACAGTAGCAACATTACAGTTATGAAGTAGCCACGAAAATAATTTTATGGTTGGGTCACAACATGAGGAACTGTATTTAAAGGGCCAGAAGGTTGAGAACTACTGGCTTAGAATAAACAGGGTGAGACCAATGAAAGGGGCTCAAAGAAATAAATCCCTACTATCTATATATCTATCATCTATCTATTATTTTATCATCTATTTGTCTATTATCTATCATTTTATCATCTATCTATCATCTATCTATCTATCTATCTATCTATCATTTTATCATCTATTTGTCTACCTTTTTTATCATCTATTTGTCTATCCATCTATCATTTTATCATCCATTTGTCTATCATCTATCTTTTTATCATCTATTTGTCTATCTATCATTTTATCATCCATTTGTCTATCATCTATCTATCATTTTATCATCTATTTATCTATCTATCATTTTATCATCTATTTGTCTATCATTTTATCATCTATTTGTCTATCATTTTATCATCTACTTGTCTATCAACTATCATTTTATCATCTGTCATCTATCTATCCATCATCTATCTATCACCTCTGCAATCCTATATAAGAATTTTAAAATCTTTTTGTTAGATGTGTGAGTCCAAATGAGAAATGAGACAAAGCACACAGGTAACCCAGTCAGTTGCCGAAGCAGCCAACACGGAAAAGCGACACGGGGGCCGCAGTACTCACCCCGCAGCCCAGGCCGCCGGCCTCGCAGGTGACCTTCCGCTGCCCGGGCTCGGGGGAGCAGCCCGGCGCCACAGCCGGGGCGGGGGCACCAGCACGCCGCCCAATGCGCAAGACGCACCCCCTCCGCGCCGTAATGGCTGGTAAGGGGCCCGGTACTGCAAGAGACAAAAGCGGAAAAATGGGGGGGGCTGAGGACCCGCCCCCCAAATTTCCCCCCGGAACCCACACCAAACCCACCCACCGACGCAATTAAAAGGGCTGAGGACCGTCCCCCCAGTTTTTTCCCAGAAAAACCTTCTAAAAATACACAATAGAAAACCAGTTGGGGGGGGGGGGGGGGGGGCCCTCCCCCCCAAGTTTTTCATAAGGGAAAAAAAAAAAAAAAAATTAACAGGGGGGGGGGGGGGGGAGCCCCGGCCCCCCTTTTCTCCAAGTCAAACAAACGAAAAAAAACGGCGGAGAAATCACGAGGGGGGGGAGAGAGAGAGGGCCCGACCACCCAGT